CACAACCACCCCAGGACTCCAAAGTCTGTCTAGTTATTATAAATTCCTTTAACTTCTGTTTACCTGGAAATAATCTAATTATAGCATCATATCTGAGGGTATAATTGCTGGGTATATGATTCTTAGTTGACAGTTTTTTTCTTTCGAGTTTTGTATGTCATCACATGGCCTTCTTGCCTGCATGATTTTGGCTGAGAAAGAACAAGGAAGACTGTAGTCTTCCTTGTTCTCCTTTGTAGGTAAATTTTGTTTTTGCCTGGCCAACTCTCAGGATTCTTTTCTTGTCTTTGGTTTTGAAACGTTTATTTCCAATATGTCTTACTCATTTTTGTTTTGGAGGGGTTATCCAATTTGGAGTTTTTCCAACTTCTTTAATGCTTGTCTTCTTGCCTTTCATGATATTCTGGAAGTTTTCTTCCAACAACTCTTAGACAATGTTCTTTCTCTCTTTTTTAAATCTTCTTTTTCTGGAATTCCAGTTACCTTTAAGTTATTCCTATTCATGGTATCCCACATAAATATTAGGATTTTTTTTTTTCTAATTGTTCTTCTAGCATACTTATATTGAGTGATTTATCTTCACACTCATTAATTCAGGCTTCCATGATTCAGATTTATTCCTTTGCACTTTCACTATATTGTCCATTTATGAAATCTAAATATCAAGTATATGGATTTATATTTGCTTGTTTTGCCTTGTTTCCAATATTTTATCTGTTTTCTTCCATTTGATCCTATTGTATTTTCTTTATTTTGCAAAGTTTTTCAGTGTTCTCTTTGCTTTCTTTCAATCCATTGAAGGTACCCAAATAGCCTTCTTCTGAAATCTTTATCAGGTAGTTCCGATTCTTTTTCTTCTTCAGAAGTATTTTCTGGCTTTGTAACTTGCTTGATGACTTATTTGAGCCACTCTGTCTTGTTTCATCGTGTGAACTGGAATTGTCTGTCTTCTGTGAGTCAGTGCAGTGTTGTATTTGCATTTCATTGATGATTGTGTGTTGTTGTGCTCTTAGGCACTCACAGACTGCATCCTGGTGGGTGTGATAAGAGAATGAAAGTTTGCACACAGATCTGTGTTCCCAGCTCATACAGCACAATTTAGGGTAAGTCTGGCTGATGTTGGCTACTGTCTATCATTGATCATGTGATATAGGAGCTGTTACTGCCACTTGCCCATCATGTGGGCCTACAGAGTGTACATATGTAGATGGATTGTATGGGCATGGTTGCTGTCTCCCTCCAATTGGGGCAAGAGGTGAAAACACACGCACACAGAAAAAAACAAACAACAACAAAATGAAAAGAAAGGGAAAAAAGAGACAGCATCAAGAAAAAAGAGCATAATAACTAAAAAGAGAGATGGGAGGAAGGCATATAAAGCTATGGATGAGAAAAATGAGAAAGGAAAAACATTAAAGAAGACTAGAGAGAGTGAAGAAGAAAAGACAAAGACACCAGAGAGAAGGTAACAAAAATCAAGAGGAATTGAAAGAAAGGAAGGAAGGAAGAATGAAAGAAAAGAATAAGAAGTAGGCAGGTGTTGAAAAAGGAGAAAAAAATGAGAGCAGAAATAGAAAGAATGAAAAAAATGGAAGTAAAAAAGAAGAAAAAAATTAAACAAACAAAAACAACAGCAGGGAAAAAACGGAAAGGAGAAAACTCAGGGGATGGGGGCAGCGGTGGGGTGTGTGTGTGCGGTGTCTGCCAGGCAATGACCTTAGGATGCAGGTGGGAGAAGGATGAGATGGCAGATTCCTGACCCTACATAGGGTTCTTATAGGTCTAGATGCTGTAAATGTTTAGGGCACCCAATCTGGATATAGTTTGTGAAGTCCCCAAAAGTATGAGAGTTCAGGGTCTTTCAAGTACAAAAGGAAGCCAGGAATGGCTGGTTATGAGAGTTTCCACTAATCTAGGGCAGACCAGGACCAGCTCTGTGTGTTCTTTAGGGCTGACACAGACTTCAAAAGAATCCAGTTATTGAAGTGGTGCACCTGCACATATCTCCCACTGGTGTGACTCACAGCTGTGTCTCCAATCTTCATGAAAGCAGAGGCTGTGCTGGGGTTTAACAATGGAAAGGACCAGCCAAGCCTCTGGTCACAAGGGAAGAATGGAAAATAAAAATGATTTGTCCCTTAAACATTACCAGTCACCACTGTACATCTGCATTGCCAGGCTGCCTGAGGCTCAGGATTTCAGGGCTATTGTCTATGTCTGCTTCATTTGGTCTCCTGTATCTTTGTTGTCATGGGTCTATGTAGAATGTCTGCCTGGTGTGCCATTTTGCTGCAACCCTTGCTGCAACCTCTTTTATTGTTGTTGTTGTTAGGTGCCATCGAGTCGGTACCAACTCATAGCAACCTTATGCACAGCAGAACAAAACACTGTCTGATTCTGGGTCAACCTCACTAATGTTGCAACCCTTGAGTCCACTGATGCTGCCACTTGGCCAACCCATCTCATTGGGGGTCTTCCTCTTTTTCTCTGACCCTCCACCCTACCAAATATGATATCCTTCTCCAGTGACTGGTCCCTCAACCTCTTTGTTGTTGTTGTTGGTAAGTACTGTGGAGTTGGTTCCGACTCATAGTGACCCTACACAGGGTTTCCAGGGCTGTAAATCTTTACAGGAGCAGAAAGCCTCATCTTTCTCCAGCAGAACGGCTGGTAGTTTCGAACTGTTGATCTTGAGGTTGGCAGCCCGATTCGTAACCACTACACTAAGGAGCAGAAAACATATCTTTAGAAGTGCAGAGCATTTTATTTTGATGAAGCCCAATTAACTGCTTATTTGGGGTGGGGGTGTTATGCTTTTGGTGTTGTAGAAAAAAAAATTGTCTCACATCATGTCACAAAAATTTTCCTGTATACTTTTAGAAGTTTTATAGTTTTGGGATATTCTTTTTAGGTTTCGGATCCATTCTGAGTTCGTTTTAATATGAGAAGACTTCAAAAAGGTCAGGAAAACAGAATCAAATGATAATGAAATTTTTCCACAAACTTTTTGAAATCCCCTCATAGATCTTTCTTATCTATAAATATTTCCACATAGATATCAAATTATTTCAGCATCATTTCTTGAAAAGATAACCTTTTTTCATTGACTTGATTTTGCACATTTGTTGGTGATTAGTTGCTCATGTATATATTGATCTGTTTCTGGACTGTATTCTGTTTTGGTGGCCTACTGGTCTATATTTAACAAATATCCTACCTTTTGGATCACATTACTTGTATAGTTTTATAAAATCTTGAAGTTAATCAGTGTTAGTGCTCCAAAGTTGTTCTTTTTCAAAGTTGTTTTAGTTATTGAAGATATTTTGTTTTTCCCATAAGAATTTTAGACTCAAATGGTCAATATCTACAAAATTCCTTTGAGGATTTTGGTTAAGATTGCATGGAATCTACATATCAGTTTGATAGAATGTATATTTTAACAATATTGAGTCTTTTGACTCATGAACATGATATTTGTTATTGTTAAGTGCCGTAGAGTAGATCCCAACCCATAATGACCCTGTATAGGGTTCCCAAGGAGCAGCTGGTGAGCTTGAACTGCCGACCTTTGCAGTCTGGTGCATTAACCCACAGTGCCACACCAGAACATGATATACCTCTCCATTTATTTAGGTCTTTAAATTCTTTCAGCAATATTTTGCGATTTTCAGTATATGATATTAATCTTCTGATGCGGTGGTAGATGGCATTTAAAAATTTTTAAATATTAATTATTCCTTGTTAGCAGATAGAAATAAAAACAGTTTTTGCATATTGATCTTGCATATGTCAACCTTGCTAACCTGATTTGAGCTCTTAAACAATGGGGACACCCCAAAGCTTATTACATCTGCACCTGGTTAGCACACACTTCAGGACCAATAATCACAGTGAACTGACTTTTTACTCTCAATCTCTTTGTTGAGAAACCTCATTACAACCTCTCTAGTTTCAGAACATCTTTGGGCCCTTATTAAGTGTTTAGTATGAAGCAAAGTCATTCAAGAGAGAAAAAGAACCTCTTCAACCTCTTCTGACACTTCTTGCAAACTTTCTTTCTGGACTTGGCTTCTAGTCCATTTCTGGTGCTGCTTCTAGTCCCAGTGTACTCTCGGAACATTTCTTAACTAGGGTTCCCTGAGAGCAAAGGAAAAGGCATCAGAAGGAGAGACTAACTCTAACCCTAACCCCAGCACCAACTTTGACCCAAACCCTAGCCCTAGTCACAATGCTAACCCTAACTCAAGTCCCAACCTTAACCCTAATCCCAAGCCTAACCCAAGTCCCAAGCCTAACTCTAAATCCTAACACAAAAAACCTAACTCAAGTCTCAACCTTAACCCTACCTAGTCCTAAACCTAACCTAATCTGGATTTCTAGACAGTCTTGGTGTGGTGCTATAGGATAAGCAATGGACCTCCAGGTCTGTTTGAACCAGAAGGCTGGCAGTCCAAACTCACCAGCTGCTCCTCAGAGACCCTATATGATGTTACTATGAGTTGGAATTCACTCAACAGTACTTAACAACAGCAAACTCTGAGAGCGTCAATTTCCATTTGCTAAAGCCATCTACTTGTGCTATTTCTGTTCTAATATTACTAGGCGACTAAGACACCACCCTTAGTAATCACATAACAAATATTTCCACACTTCACACATAAATGTCACACATATTGGAATTTATTTGGGGAAGAAAGATTATAAGACTAGGGTAGACATAAGGGAATCAATATTAGAAAAAAATCCTGGATTAGTCAAGAAAAGATGCCATATAAGTTCAAGGTTGAAAAAAAGAAATGTATGAGTAAACCAGGCCAAAGAGAATAGAAAGGTATTATAGACAGAAAAACAGCTAAGGTAAAATCATAATGTCAAGAAGCAATGTGATGCATAAGTCTAGATTGTTTTTAAACATTGGTATATAAAGTACAAAGTAGGAGGTGGCCAAGACTGTTGGTGTAGGTAGGGCCCACCACTTGGGAATCACTAAACATAGACTTCTAGGTGGGGATGATCTGCAGCACATTCATATCTCGCATACGATCCACAAATCCATTTGTACCACAGTGAAATTTAATGTGGCTATAGCTCCTTGTCTCTCTGTAGTTACTTTTATTATTCTTCCGACTACACTTGAGTACTTTGAAGGCTTGGTGTCCCCATATATATACATTTTTGTGTCGTTCTACCCAATTATTGAAACAAATATTATCAATTTGGTACCAAGGAGCATAGAGGAAAATGTGAGAGGCCTTGTTCCTTACAGACTGTAATTTCTTCATGAGGATATTACATTTGTACTGGTTAAATTCCAAGGCTGGACTCAGGTGGTGCTGTTTCATGAACTCCTTCCGGGAGTGGTTCTGATCTTCAATGAGCTGCCCCCATAGTGGGGACAGTAGGACCAAGACAGGGCCCAGAGCCTTTAGATAAGATGCCATCTCAGTCACCTAGATCACCTGCAGGTTCACAAGAAAGAGAGAAGAAAGTATTATATAGATACTACCCTGAAATTCCAGCTCTACCTTGAAATCTTTTCCCCTGCCAATGCAGATCCTTGGGCCCAATTTCACTGTTTGGTTCCCAGACTCAAACATGACAAGTCTCACTAGATAATACAGTTTTTAGGAACTGAAAGCAAACTGTGGTCTGAGTCAGCCCAGCAAAAACATTGGAAAAAATAGGTGAAGCGTATTTTGAATAATTAAAGTCCTGGTGTGGTCATGTGGATTAATGCACTGGTCTGCAAAGTCAGTTTGCACCTCAAGCTTGGCAGTTCAAGCTCACCAGGTGCTCCTCAAAAATCCTATACAGGGTCGAAATGAGTTGGAACCGACTCAAAGGCACTTAACAACAACATATATATATATATATATCTAGATAGATTGATAGATACACATATAAATATTGCTGTTGTTGTTAAGTGCATGTATATATGGAGTCCTAATGTGATAAAAAGCAAGGTCGGTTTGAATCACAAGGTCAGTGATTCAAACTCACCAGCTGTCCCTAGGAAATCCTATACAAGGTCGTTATGAGTCCGAATATATATTTATATATGTTGCTGTTGATTACTGCTCTCAAGTCCATTCAACTCATAATGACCTTGTATAGGGTTTCTGAGAAATGGCTAGTGGATTTGAATCAACCAGCTTACAGTTCAAATAGACCTTACAGTTTAGTGTTTATCCTACAGCACCACACCAGGAATATATATGTATATGTAATGGAGTTCTGATATAATGCGCTGGACTACAAAATTGATTTGAACCACAGCCGGGTGGTTCAGTCTCACCAGTTGCTCCACGGAAACCCTATACAGGGTTGCTATGGGTCAGAACTGACTCAACGGCACTTAACAACAACTATGTATATATATATGAGTTTGAAAGAGGATATTGGTACATGAGTATTTACCTTTCCTGGAAACACAACTATGAATGTGGTGGAGCATGCAGTTGGGACATTATCAAACATTTAAACGCAATGAGTAGCTAGGCCTTCGGGCTCAGGACCATAGTCTCAGGGGACACCATGGTCAACTGGCATAACACAGTCTACAAATTCAGTGTTCTACATCCTACTTTGGTGAGTAGCATCTAGGATATTAAAAGCTCATGAGTGGCTATCTAAGGTGCACCTATTTGTCTCTTTATGTGCAAAAGAAAGAAGAGTGATGACAACTGAAGACACTTAGAATCAATTCATCCATGGCAAAGCAAACATACAGTGGCAAAACATGTGGAACAAAGCTCAAAATTACTAAAAAAACAAAACAAAAAAAAAGACACCTAACTTACTGGTCAGAAAGAGACAGTAAGAACCTGAGACTATGGCTGTTGTCCACCCTTCAGTTCTGGGATGTAACTCATCTTCATGACCCAACTTTCAGCCAAGCAGTAGATAGGTATATAGGGGGATCAACAACACAAGTAAGGTATGCTCACTACGAATGAGGGACTGGTCAACCATTCAAAACCAAATGAGCAACATGTACCTAAGGACAAAGTTGAAAAGGGACGGGAAGGTGGTGGGATGGAAATAGGAACCACAGTGAGGAAGCAGGATAACTGTTGTTACATGGAGCAACATTGAGCTGTAACAAAGTATATTATTTGGTGATTGTAAAACTGACAATCTTGTCTGTAAACCTTCACTCAATGCACAATACAAAGTTAAAAAAACAAAAAACAAAGAAACCACAACAGTGTGATACTAGTACTACAAAAGACACATAGATCAATAGAACAGAATTGAGTACCTAGAAACAAATCTATCCACCTAAGACCAGCTGATCTTTGACAGTAGACCAAAACACACTCAGTGGGGAAGAGATATTCTCTTCAACAAATGCTTCTGGCAAAACTGGAAATCAATTTGTAAAGAATGAAACAAGACCCATATTTCACGTAATATACAAAACAAACTCAACATGCATTAAAGACCTAAATGTAAAACATAGAACTATAAAGATCATCAGTGAAAAAACATGGACAAACTTACAGGCTCTGGTTGTGCCATAAATATACTCTAACAAAACTGAAAACACACAAACAGCAGAAGACAAAATAGGTGATTGGATCACCTAAAAATTACACAATTATGTGGATTAAAATATTTCACCAAAAGAGTTAAAAGAAACCCCATAAACTATGAAACTTTTTTGGCCATGACATATCAGACAAAGGACTTCTCTCTAAAATTTATAGAACACTTCAACATCTCTACATGAAGAAGACCAATAATCTGATTAAAAAATAGAGGACATAAACAGGCATTTCACCCAAGAAGACATTTAGATGGTTAACAAAAACATGAAGAAATGCTCACAGTCATTAGCCATTAGAGAAATGCAAATCCAAAGAACAATGAGATATTATCTTACCCCAGCATTAATTGCAAAGTTCAGAAACAAAAACTGAGAACAAATCCTGGCGAGGGTGTGGAGCATCTGGGACCTTCCTATCTTGCTGGTGGGATATAATAGTGCAACCACTGTGGAAAACAGTAGGGCAGTTTCTCCAAAAGCTGGAAACAGCAACTTCACCACTTGGTATATAGCCTCAAGAAATCTAAAAGCCGTATTGCAAACAGATATATGCACATCCAGAGCCATCACAACACTATTCACAATAGGACAAAGATGGAGAAAACCTAAAAGATCATAAACAGAAGAATTGTTAACCAAATGTTCTTACATACACACAATAGAACACTACACAATGTGGAAGAATAACAATGAATTTGCAAAACACCTCACAACATGGATGAACCTGGGTTATATTATGCTGAATGAAATTAGTCAATGAGATCACAATTGCAAAAAAAAAAAAAAAATCAAGAAATGTTTTTCATGCTGACAGAAACATTCTATAAAGGTTACCAGGGGTTGGAGAAAAGAAGGAATTATTCCCTGCCTATAAAATAGACACATGCTAACTTGGGTGACAGGGAAGGCAGTTAAAAAACAAACAAACAAAAACCTTTAGCCAAAAAAACTAATCACCTAGAACCCAACAACCTCGAGCAGGGAAAGCAGCTGCTGACCACTGGTATATGTTGAGAGCAAGCATACATAACCCATTGTCAAGTTAACTAATTACTAAACCTAAACCAAACCCAAAGCCATTGAGTCAAATTCGATTTCTGGAGACCCAGGGGGGAAATGTCTCCCTCTTAAACCAGTTCCTTTGTGTTCATCTACTGTGTGGAGTGTACCGGCTCTAGTGAACTTTTGAGCAACAGTGCCTTCAAATGGACCTAAAAATAGCTCCCTCCTAGACCTCAAGAATCTAATGAGAGGATTGTATAAATGCTTCATCAGACGTAGAGCCAGAGATAGGTACTTTGTGTCTTTGTGGAATCCTCTTCTTGGCTATAAAGACCTAAATTGGATGAAGAGAATAGGATTCAAGTGAGTCCACTCAGGAGAGGATATTAGTAGGGGTGGGAAGACTGTCAGTGGGATTAATGCTAGATTAAATCCAAGCCATTTCTTCCTAGCAGTTGGATCCTTTTCTATCCTTAATTCTACTATCTAGAAGTTCAGTCAAGACCCTGACAACTTCAAATGTTCCTTTCCCCAAGCATCTTTGAAATGAACCCTTGTAACCCACCCTATTCAGATTCAACATTCAAGTCACTGGTCCTTTTGCGGATTAGTATGTGGATCTAAAGACCATTCCCTCTTCTTAGAGCCCAAGAGATCTGAAGCAGTAGAGAAAAGAGAAACAGTGAGAAGTTCTATCTGATTGGTGGTGGTGGTGGTGGAGCCAAGGAGCAGCCTGGTTCTTTTAATCCGTTTCTTTATCTTCTCATCTAGAACACTTGGGTTCACTCTGAGAATAGCCCTGAGCCAGGGTCTGACATCAAAGACTGACACAAAGGAGTTGCAAGGCCCTGAGGAGAGGTGGACCTAAAGAGGAGTTATTTGAAAATAATACGACAGAAATAGAAATCTGACTTCTAATCTCACTTCCTTAAAAAATTCTGAGGAAATGTTCCTGGTTGGAAACTTTTAGGAGGAAAACAACTTCTGGCATTGTGACAGTGGTGTCCTCATTGAGGGGTGAAAGAGTATCTAGTCAAAATATAATTTAAGGATAGACTGAGCTACTTGAATTTGTTTTCTACTAACACTTTCCAGAAGCAGCAGTCAAGAAATCAAATGACATCTTGTATTTGGCAAATCTGCTGCACGAGACATCTTTAAAGTTTTCAAGAACAAAGATGTCAGTTTGCGGACTAAGGTGCTCCGAACTCAAGCAATAGTATTTCAATAACCTCATATGCCTGTGAAAGTTGGACAATGAATAAAGACGATAGTAGAAGAATTGATGCAGTTGACTTATGGTATTAGAGGAGAATATTAAAAGTACCATGGGACACCAAAAGAACAAATAAATCTGTGCTGAAAGAACAGCCAGAAGGCTCATTAGAAGCCAGGATAGCCAGCCTTTGTTTCTCATGCTTCAGACCAGTCCCTGGAGAAGGACATCATGCTTGATAAAGTGAAGGGTCAGCAAAAAAGAGAAAGACCCCAACGAGATTGGCTGTCACAGTGGCAGCAACATTGTGGACAAACTTAGCCACGGTAGTGAGGATGGTGTCAGATTGGGTAGTGTTTTTTTCTGTTGTGCATATGGTTGCTATGAGTTGGTACTGACTCAATGGCACCCAACAACAACAACATATTCAGTGCTTTCTACTTGCTAGGCCACTTTGATTTCTCATTTGGTCATGTTTTCAGAATTTATGTCTATCTAGAACTTATCTTCAAAGCATGCTAGCAGTGCCATACTCTTTTGGATGAGAAACAAGTCACCATGATTAGAAAAAGACATGTTGTTCACATTTACAGAAACTCTATAGAGCCGAGCTCTGTCAAGCATTCCTTGAATCATAATGGAAAGGATATCTAGCATATGCTGATCGGTTGGAC